CCAGGACTATACAGCACTAAACCTCGCTAAATCTGGATGTAAAGTCGACTAAATTTGCGCTAAATTTGCGCTAAATTTGCACTAAAGTTGCACTAAATTCGCACTAAATTCGCGCTAAAGTGCACTCAAGATGCAGTACATAAACACTTCACACCGCACTAAATTTAGACCCAGGCGCCCTCCGATACAAAAGTGGGGACGCGCCTGGCGGCGCGCCCCCAAAAATTCTTTTTCATGGGGGGGCACGCTTGCTCGCTTAACACTCACACACACACCGAGCCCGACACATTCGTACGTGTATGCACAGTTCAACACAGAGCACTCAATGCTCCCTGTGTGTGAGTACCAGCCCGCACCAGCACGCACCAGTCCGCTCCTACACCACTTCAACAGAGCACGTACACATGTCCCACAAACATACACGCACTCCCCCCTCACACTTTTGCGTGATGCGCTCCCTTCTCACTTCCCGTCTCCCGTACGAACCCCAATTGCCGTGTCTTCTATGAGATGCCCCCCTCGTTACATTTCGTTCACGAAGTGGGCATGTGCGCCTAGGGTAGGGCTCACGGCCACGGAAGCGATGAGCAGCGAGCAGAGCGTGAGCACATCGTACACGGGCAGATTGAACTTCTGGCGCAGCGCGTTCGAATAGCCTGTGATCTCATATTCGAATAGTAAGGCCGCGAGAATCGGACGGCTAGGGGGCCAGGGCCACCCTCCACCTGGCAGCTCGGTGCACTCGAGTAGAATCGCACCTTTGGGAGGAGGGATACGCAAGGATGGCGGGGAGGATTTGTGCAGCACGAGCTGCTGGGGCGCACAAACCGATAGGGCTTGGTGCTGTGGCCGTGAAGGCCTCCACCACCGCCCCGACAATGCCAGCCTCTGCGAGCAACGGGTCCACAGTTGTACCTGAGGCAACCTCTGCGCCGAATCCGCGCACCTGCTCCAGCCCGCAGACGCGAAGTCTCTTCAGAGGGACATGTGGCGGAATCAGTGTTTCCGCGTGCCGCTTGAAGTTCGTGCCGTTGGAGGTAAGGACGAGGATGACGTCCTCTGGGGGCAGCGACAGCAAGAGAGTCGGCAGCAGGTCGAGAGTCGACATCAGTGTCGGCATCCCGGAGCGCGCGGCGCAGAAAGAGTTGATGTTGGCCATGAATCCGCATGAAGAGGAGAGGCACCGGCACTCAAGCTCGCGAAGCTCGGCCAAAGTTTGCTTGAGATTGGCAAGGATGAGCTCGGGCAGGTAGATGTAGACGACGCCCACAGCGCGCCCATTCACTACCCATGGTTCAGTGAACGAGGGATTGCGTGCACGCGGCGGCTGGTTGCCGCCGACTTCAAAGAGGTGCTGCGGATCGCCCTGAGTCCCGCGGATCCTGACCTCGCCCCGCGTGAGCTGCAGCTGATCAGGTGCGTTCACGGGGTGTCCAGAGACGCAGACGGAGAACGTGTATCCTTCTGCTCTCCTGTAGATGATATCCGTTTGGGACAAGCTCTCCGACCCCTGTAGGCTCTGTGGTGCCACCCCCTGTAGGCTCTGTGGTGCCACCAGATCTCCAAGCACCGCGGTCTTTGCCGTCCGCGGCTGATCAAGTCTGACGATTCCAATCCTCGGAGTCTTAGGCCGCAGCATGGTGATCAATGACTATTATGATTAGGCATCGTGAGCACTGGTTCTGATCTGGCGGTCAGCTGGTGGATCATGTCGGCACGCGATAGCCAGGCGATCGCGTCGTTACTCTGTTGCAGCCGTGAGTTGCAGACTCGTAAACTCCGTAAACTTCTGCGGCTTCGTTAGCTTCTCATGCGCCGCTGTACAACGAGGAAAGTCTCGGCTTGGATTCACGCCCCGGCGGGGGTGATATTGGATGGGCACCCCGGGCCGCGCGAGAGAGGGGGCTGTATCTCCCGCGATGTGTCGCGGACAAACCCAAGTAGACGCCCGGTCGGGCGGGGGGGTGGTACGCTGCGTGGGGCGAGATTTTAAATGTTATTGCTAAAAGCTCTCTCTCTGTCTCTCTTCTCGCGCCGCGCCTTGACTCGGCGTGCGGAGTCACCCTCGCGACTCGGCGCTGAGCGACTCATTGCAAGGTTGCGGGCGAGGCGCATCGCCTCCCGCTCGTCGGTCTTGTCCATATAGCATGCATGCCATTCCGCCCGTGCGGCCTCGAGCTCCGCGCCCTCGAGGCAGCCAGCAATGCGCCGTGGCGGCAGTCTGGGGAAGACGTGCATTCGGCCGCGGCCTGGGTCCCCAGGCGCGATGGGGACGGTCTTTCTGCACGCGCCGTTGCAACGCCGGGAAAAACTCTGGGGGGCGCGAGGGCCCTAGAGGGTATCCATGCGGGGGGGAGATGGGGCTCGATGGCCCGCCGCAGGCGCCGATTTTTTGGCATGTTTTTTTCTTCTTTTGCGAGATTTTCACTTGTTTCATGGGAATTCAGCATACTTGCGGCCATGCTATCACGCCTTGCGACAGCCTGTCGGCGCTGCTGACCGTGCTATGCTGCACAATTGATCACCTGCATAGCTCGCGGCCTTAGTATCCAGCATTCAGTGACGACCTGATCGTACGGCCAGTAGGAAGGTGTCCTTCCAACGTGTGCACGCTTCTGATGCAATGCGCGTCACAAACTGCCTCAGATTGGCTGCTGGCACTCTCGAGGCTATGCCTACACAGCCTCGCGCGCATGGGCAGTCAAGAGGGACCACGCACCTTCTCAGGACAGCACCAGTGCCTCTCTCTTGGACCGGCAAACTTGGTGGTCTCGTGTCACCAATGTGGGACCAGTGCGGCATCGGCGCATCGCGCCATCGACAGCTCTGAACTGCGCCTCACCACTGACCGGGAAGGCCGCCAAGTGGGCCAGCACAGGTCGCACATTGTGGCAGCAGTCAGCAGTCCATGGCTGATAGCTAGAGCAGCAGCGTCAGGGTCTCGCAGGGTCGGATCGTGTCAAGCCTCTCGCCCGGCCGGCCGCGTGCAGACGTCGGCCTGTCTGCTGTCTGGAGTGATCTGTCGGCGGTCAGTACGACCGATCAGGTCGGAGTTTTCTGATGGTTAGAGGGTCTATCTGTATGTACTCCTCGAGATCTCTCCAAATCTGCCCTCTACTTAACCGTACTCATTCGGGAAGTTGGTAGTATGAGCGAGTATGAGCGCCGGAGCCCCGTTTCCGCACTGCTGCGCGGCGCACGGTGCCTCCGGGGGCCCCCGCGCCCCCCCAGAGGGGAAAAATCCAGAGGCGGTGGGGCCGGAAAATTGGAGTCCGCTACCCGCTTGCGGAGCCTGCGGAGGTGGCGGGTTCTTCCCTCCTCATCCATCTCGTCCATCTCCAGATTGTCCGGCGTCTGAACCTTCTGAGAGGCGAGCGCGAGCCCGTTGTTCAGCCTGCACGGGCGTGCATAGCGGCGCCGTCGCGGGCGGAGCCGTCGCGGGTAGCCAGAGGCGGCGGGCCGGCGGGAGAGGGCGGTGGTGCGAGCGGTGATGATTTGGCCGCCGCCGCGTCCTCTTTGCGAGCGCTCTCGACTTCCGTCCCTTTTTACGCTTCTCCCCCCCCTTGCTCGCGTGTCCGACTTTGCTGCGGGTCGGGCCAGGGCTTGTCAGCAGGCTACTTGGGTTTGTCTGTTGAGTCTTAGGTATGTACTTTTAGCTTACTGGGAGAAAAGGGAGAGGGGGTTGGTCTCTCTCTCTCTTAGGTATGTTGTTGGCAAATCAAGACACAGAGCTCACACAGAATCACAAATGTATTGAGGGTCAAGAAAAGAGAGAATCGTACCGACCGCCGCCGC